TGAGCCAGGAAAAGCCACCATTTCTTTAAGGAGGTGCTGACAGGTTTGGCATACCAGGCCATGCCCCCTCCACAGCACCAGCTTTGGATCTGAAGCGCTCCATGTCCCTCCTTCTTAGTAAGGTGGCAGTGAGGTCTGTAATCAAGAGGCTGGCTTTTTCAGCTATGTTTCCTCTCCAGTTGTTTTGTTCATTCCTTGCAGAGAACACGGGATACAAATTGGCCAACTCATTGGTTCTGAGATGATTGACAGGGTCTTGCAGACAATGTTTTTAATGTAACAGGCAATGCTGCAAAGTTTTATCACCCAGCTTGCTGGCTAACAGCTATGATCAATTGAAGCTGAATTAACTGACCGAGTGGAGTTAATTTCATTCTGTATATGAGTCAGTCCACTTTGGGTTAAAGTTAAACCTCTGAGGATTTGTTCACTAGATCAGTCATGAGCATCTGCAAGGGGAAGGGGGAAATATAACATGTGGGTAGTGATATCACATCAGATATTGTGACATATGAATGTAATGGCAGCATTTGTGTGATGACAACATCATGTCTATGCCATTGGTTTGGTTTATTATGGATGCCACTGGCATAAATTAACCCATTTTTGGTGTAACCTCCCCAAAGAACTACTTAAAACATCCTGTGTACTTAATCACCATGATGCTAGCCAAGCCTCTTAACTGATCATGCAAGTCCTCAAAGAGCAGCAAAAGTCCTTCTGGGTTTGTAACCCAGTGATTACTATATGCTTACATACATAACTTAGCCATGTTTACCATACAGTAATTTACATAATTAACTTAAGTGCCTATATTTGCATGAGAACCTAAATATAAACTAACCACATAGGCTGGGTTTGCAAATACATCATAGTTGGCTAGTTTGTGACTCTTTGTGCAGTATGAATGCAGCTTAGCTTGCTTCTGTGGAGAGAATCTTCGTGAATACTGGAGCATCAGTTCTGGAACTGACAGTGATTGCTTGCTTGAATTTTTCAAAGATATTGATCAAATGTGGCAGATTTCTTTTAGAAAGCATGTACACTGATTGCACCAGACCTAAATTACACAGATTAGTCCTTGGTCTTAAATTCAGGCTAGCATTAATCAGAAATAACACCATATTGCCTTTGGAGGATTGGAATAGTCAAAAATAAGCCCCATGGGCCTGAGGGAAACATCACAATGCATTGTTTCCATTCATCACCCCGGGTTGTTTATGTATCATCTGAAAGTGCCAATGGTTTCTCAGATTAGGTTAATCTTGCAGTCTTCTTTCCAAGCTACTTTCTTCTTCCTCTCCAGAATTATCTGGTAGGAAAGACTAGAGCAGAGAAAGATCAATAGAGCCTACCATAGAAAGATCAAAGGGCCTACCAGAAATGGCAGCTCTCTGCATTATAGGTATTCCATAGAAATCACAGTGACATCAAAAGAGGGCCCGTTTGTTGTTGTCATCAGCCACCATTGTTGTGCTGGACTAGAAACTGGGTGATCATGAGTTCTAGCCCTCCCACAGCCATAGAAGCTGGCTGGGTGACCTTGGGCTGGTCACTCTCTCAGCCCACGGGATGGAATCCACCTTACAGGTTTGCTGTGGTAGGGAAAATAGGAAGAAGGAGTACTATGTACACCACACTGAGTTGTAAAATAAAGGTGGGTTATAAATCTTAGTAAATAAAATGACACCATGTGCATCATGATGCCAGTTATGTACATGCATCATTTTCTCTCCTGATCTTGAAGATTTTCTCTCATAGGTTTTAATCCTATGCACATTTTCAACAAGATTTGTACTGAGTAACAGGCATAGGCTTGGGCTAACATATTCATATTCTTGTGGGTAATTGCTTGAAGATCTTACTGAAGAAACATAAACTTGAATAATGGCTGCTACATATTCAGTTAATCCACTGGTTGTAAATGGCATGAAACCCTTATGCTGCCCTTTTGCACAGATTGAAATTTAATACTCAGTGATAGTGAGGAACACTATGATTAAAAAGATGGTGTGAGCCAAGTGAATGTTAAGCACTTGCAGTTCCCACTGGCTTAAATGTGAAATCAGTGGCTATGTTTGATCAACATATCAAACTACAATGTTGCCAACAATATTTTAGCCTGGCCCTTATGATTAGTTTATGGTTCATTATGCTAATGGAACACAGGGACATGGGTTGTACAAAACATGGTTTAATTTATTATGAAAAAGCATGTCATGCAGGTTCAGCCACTGAGATTTAAAGGGAAGACCCCTTCCAGTAGTTTTCCATCCATATTATTGATGCAAGGTAGATCTAATCAATTCGTCAGACCCTAAAAATGTAAAGATGCTCTGAAATCAAACTCAGTTCCTGACTATTGTATCCTTGCAATTTTCTTGAGAGGGATATGGAATCAAATTGATATTACCTTCTTTGGGTATGGTTTTTGACTTCCCAATCTACTCACTAGCCCTGAAATTCATTCATTGCTTAACTCTGGAGATTAGCCAAGATTTGTGGAGGGCATTGAAATGGCCTTGTAGGATAGGAGGAAGAGCTGCTACCCAAGGCAACAATCAGACAAATGTGGCTTGAGTCCATTCCAAGAAACTAATTTGAGAAAACCTCTCAGACAGCTCCCTCCCTAATTCACATGAAGATAAAGTAAGGGAGAAGGGAAACACATTCAGACTTGCAAGATTCTGTCACTACAGCTGTTCTAATAAAAGTAGTTTTAGACCTATATGGCATTAGTTTCTTAGTCTGGTTTACCATACAGGGCTGATATGATCTGCCACCTGCTGCTTAAAACTGTTGCTCAAGGTTTAGTGCAATAATAGCACTTATTAATAATATCACTTTAATACCATTTAAGTTGGGTACTCAACCCTTCCTCAGCTTAGTACCGTCCAGATATATTGAGTCTACAAGTTGCACAATTCTGAGCCTACAGTCCATTAGGAATCCTAAGAGGTATAGTCCCAAACTATCTGAAGGTCATCAGTTTGGGGAAAACTGTTGTACGCACTTATCTGAGAGTAATCATATTGTATTCAGTCAGACAGAAGGATTGTGCATATATATTACCAAGAAAACAAACAGCAAATCAACCCAGAGTTCTCACTCAGGGCACAAATGATCAGGCTCAAACTGTCTTACTTTGGACACATTAGGTGAAGACCTAGCTCTCTAGAGAAGGTTCTAAAACTGGGAAGTGTAGAAGGAAAGAGAAGAAGAGGATGACCAGCAACCAGATGGATGGACTCAGTTACAGTGGGGATAGGTGCACTGTTGAATAGGACATCATAGAGAAAATCTATCTATGTGATCACTAGGATTTGACACTGACATGATAGCACATAATTACATACACATACACACACAATTAAAAATAATGTCACAGATATTTTTCCATGAATAGATGCGTGCTAGATTTATTTATATTTGAAACACATCCTCCTCTTCCCCCTTCTCTTTTTTAAATAAAAAGACAAAAGATTTGGGGAGGGATTATTTTATTCATGGGTTTGCTTTATTGATGGATTAGTATTTTTATGTGCCATATATTTATGTCTTCACAATCTCGATACTAGGATTGCATTATAAATTGTGTATTAAGCTGTGATAAATTAAAATGCTTTGATGTTTTCAGATGGGTATAAAGCTTATAGGGTATTGAGATAAAGTATTAGACTAACAGAATATATTGAATCAGTAAATTATTTATTGCTTTTTCTGTAGGCTTTAACATATGTAACAGAATATTATGGAAAACATTAGTAAGATTGAGCAAGTCTCCTGTTTCAAATACGTGGGAGTTGTCCTTCATTCTGCCAGCAGTAGGAAAGTCCATGAGGACTACATTGCTGAAAATGTACAGAGGAGCTTATCTGCCATCCTTAAATTCCTCAAGACAAGAGGTGGCCACTATATTCCTGCAGCACTCAAATTATTTGAAGCCAAGCCAATACCAAAGCTTTATGGTGCCCAGCTGGGCCCCTTCTCCAATTTTGCACCATTATAACATGTACAATCCACATTTCTAAGATTGGCCCTTCTAGACCCAAAATGTGTCTCTAATGCCATCCTGCAACTAGAGATAGGTCTTATGAAAGTGGAGGCTACAGCATGGGTGACTATACTCAGCTATTGGCTCAGACTATCCTTTTTTCCCCCTGGCCTTGCCCCATTAACTATGAGAGATTATTTTCAGTCCATATGAAAACAGGCAGTAGCAACTAACATCTCATCCTTGGGCTTCTCTCCAGGTCTTCTACTCAGCATGGGACACGATCAGGCCAAAGCACTCATTAAACAGCGTGTAGCAGACAGAGAGTGCCAATTGGATCTAGCCAGGTCCTCAACCTTTATTGCCAGTGAATCCAACAGGTACTGTACTCTGCCTCTCCTATGACATACTTAACTATACTTGAAGTACCTAAATACCAGAGGGGCTTTACTCTGGCACAATGTCATGCCCTCCCCTCAGCTGTCCTTGAAGGCTGATACAGGAAGATTCCTTACACAGAGAGATAATGCCCCTGTGACTCTGGACACACAGAAACAACAGAGCATGTGCTTCTCCAATGCTTGTATTACAGAGACATTCGTACTAGCCTCATCTCACCATTACTGCATAAATACCCAGGGTGCCCAGGACAATTCTATACCTCCCTGTTGCTTTCAGATACCAACCCTGCTACAACATTTGTTGCCAGGTTCTGCGCAGCAGCAATTAAAATTCATCAGATGATGACCTGTGCCATAAACTAGTCTTAATGAGTATCTAATTCTCCATACTAGAGTGTTCTGTAATTTGATGTAGTCTACCACATATTAACCTTTATGTTCCCCTAGACCCATCTAATGTTCCTATCCCTCCTTTTAGATTCATTTTAGATACTTTGTTTTATATCTTTTAGCTTCTTATTATTATCATTTTTAGACACTGATGTGTTTTCTATGCTTTCCAATTGATTGTACCCCATCCTCCTTATGTTGGTCTTTGACTGTAATAAAGATTTGATGAGGATTACTAACATTGTTCCACAAAATATTAAAGATTAAGTATTCTATCAAATTGTTTCATATAACTTGCTACTTTACTGTGATATTACAGAATATTCTATCAATAGTTAACGATCTACCCACTTTATAGACAGGACAAACTGTGATACAGCCCACTGATTGGGTCACTTGAATACACTAAAATTATACTTGCCACCCAAGAACGTTTAACATTTCAGTACAGTGCTGATTTGGGGGAACAGGGTTGATATGAATTTCAAATATTTTTGTTAATGTGCTCCAACATAATAGATATGCATACTTAACTGAATTATATGGGATGAAGAAAGGGTGGACATAGAAAGCCGAGAGCTATGTGAATTATATGATTATTCTCAATGTAGAAATATGCTGCTTAAGTTACCAAATGCATCATACAGAAAATACATACATGGTTGACTCAATTTACATAATTTTTTGCACTGAACCATTAATGAATTACATCTGCTTGGTTCATACAACACAGCAGGCTAAAATGTGGTTGACTAGTTTGAGCTTAAGTATGTTGAGTGAACATGACTTTGGGTCCATTTTGAGTTTGCATGCCAAACCTGAAACTCAGATAAAAAGAAGCCCACAGGAGACTAAAAATGGCCATAGGCTGCTTCTCCTCACCTGAAGATTTTCATCAGCTTTAAAGGCAAGGATAGCCATCGTTCAGAAGTGAAATTCAGGAAACTTCATTTTACTGGACCGATGGGGGAAAGGGGTGTCAGTTGTTGAGGAAAGTCCATTGAAACAAACAGCAGGTCATAGCAGGGATTTGCCTCATTTGTGCAAATGACAGAAATTGACACAATTAATGCCATTTGTGTAATGCAGTATTATTTTGGACTCTTACTCTTTGAGTGTAGTCATTTTAACTACTATTTATATACAGTAATTACCATCTCTTGCACACAGTTTTACTAAAGAATAATGTTAAATGTCTTCTGAAAGACCAAAAATTCTGTTTGTGCTGATATAAAATTGCCAGAGTAAAGTAGTTTGAAACAATGTAGTCAAGAAGCGTTGAAATATATTATCAGCAAATACTGATAACCAGGATTGTTTTTTAAAGCAGTTTCCCTTTAAGCTGCCATTGTTTATTGGAAATTTTTAATAAATAATCTTAACCAAGGTTATGGCCATGTTCACAGAGATGCTGAAAATCCAGTTATTGGGTGTAGACTACCACTTTCATGGATTCACTCAGCTGGAATGGGCCATTCAGAAAACCTGTGAAAAGCAACATAGATTGGCTTTACCAAAACAAGAAACCACCTAATTTGTCTTAATGTAATAATTTGAGTGGTCTAGAATCATTTCAGGCTAATACTGCAGTGGAAGGCACTACTCAGCTTTCTCCCCCAATGGTGCCTGAAGTATTTCCAGATTCACAGACTTTGGAATTTCCTACAGCTGCCCAGCCTGGAATAGAGTGTATTTTGAGGGGGTTCCATGTTATATGGTTTTAGCACATGCTGCAGGATTGTCCAGTGTTCACCAAAGCCACCGAGCCTGAAAGTGTTTCGGCACCCATCAAAGTTGCTTCAGAACTGCAATTGTGCAGTGTGAGCCAAATTGACCAGTGCTAGGGAGAAGGCTCCTTTCAGCCTTCTCTCACAACATGAAGATGAGGGGGTCTCTGAAGCAAATTGAGCAAAGCCAATACATTAACTCATCAGGTAGCTTCAAATAAGTGCTGTGTTTGCATGTAAGAAAAGCACATTTTTGAAGTTTCACACAACCCTACCTTTGAGGTCATTGAGATGAACCTCCTGCTCTGGATAGGAATCCTAATTGAAGCATCCCTAGAAGGTGGCTGTCTAGTTCCTGTCTGAATATATGCAGGGAAAGGGAGCCCACTGTGTTTCTAGATAATTTAGGAAGTTCTTTCTAACATTAAATTGAACTCAGTCTTTCTGTAGCTTAAATCCATTCCTCCAGGTCCAAATCCTGGAAAGATAGTGAACAGCTCTTTACTTTCTTTGTTTGACATTCTTTGAGGTATCTGAAGATTGCTATTATATCCCCCCTCAACCTTCTCTTTTTAAAGCTAAATATTCCCAATATCTCCTATTCATAGGACATAATATTTAATTCCTGAGTATCATTGTCTTTCTTTGATTCAGCTTTTCTAAACCATTCTTAAACTGCAGGGCACATAATTGGATGTGATGCTCAAGGTGAGATTTGACCAATGCAGAATAAATTGAAATGATTACTTCCCATGATTTGGAAGCCATACTTCCGTTGATGAAATCTAAAATTGCATTTGTCCTTTTTGCATCTACAGCATATTGCTGACTCATACTCAGTTAACAATCAATTATTATTTCAAATTATTTTTCAGAAACACAGTTACCAAGCCCTCTATGTTCCATCTTATATATGTGGATTTGATTTCTGTTTCCTAAATGAAGAATTTTGCAATTGAATGTATTCAATTAGGTCTGTGCTTTCAGATCATTTTTATAACTTGTTAAGATCATTTCAAATTTTCTTTCTGTTTTCAAAGGTATTAAATATCCCACCCAATTTTATGTCATCTGCAGTTTTCATAAATATTCTCTGCACTTCTTCATACAAGACTATAGGGTTCAGAACTGAATCTTTTGACAGCCTATTCAATACCTCCCCTTGGTATGATGAGAAACCTTTGATGAACACTCTTTGAGTATAATCTTGTGAGCCATCCAGCACTCATGGAACTATCTTGCTCATTAGAATGTCATGCTTTGATGAAGTCAAGATATATCATGTTACCTATATTATCTTTTAAGTTGGCTAGCTAATCAAAAAGTTGGATGCAGTTGGTCTGGCAGGAGTTGTTCTCAAGATACTTACTGATTGATCTCTTATGATGTGCTATAGAATCTGTTTGTATTGATGTAGTTTGCTGTATCCTCCTTTTCCTTTCTGAAGATAAGGAAAACATCTGCTCCTCTCCAGTCTGCTATTTCTTCTGTCCTTCAGAATTATTTGCATGTGATCTTGTTTGGACACACCATCAGCAAGCTACTTCAGTACTCTAGGATACAATTCATTTAGCCCTGGAGATTAGTTCTGTTACTTTGTTGTTAGAGAATACCCAACCAAAATAGAAATTGAGTAACTCTGCTTTTCATTTACTATGTATCAGAATTTTGCCATCTTCATTAATTAACTGGTATACTCATTATTTTCTTTTGCTTTTATTTTGAACACATCTGAAAAATCTTTTTATTGTTCTTATCTAACCTCAGCTCATTTTCACATTCATTTTTCCTGGTACCCTTTCTATTGTTCTGTACAACCTTATGTACTTTTCCTTTACAACCTGTTCTTTCCACCTCCTAAGTGTCATTTTTGTTATTAGACCTTCATTATACTCAGAGATTGTTTCTTCCATGGGGGTCTCAAAGCTGTTTTTAAGGTCCAGTGATGTAATTTTCCATGGTTTTGTTTTTAGTACTAGTTGTCATTCTTGTCCACTGGACTTAGACTTTTATTTCTCTTCTTTGTGGAGAGTTGCTTCTTATGTCAGCTCTTACAGTGTTTGATTTGCTAAATCACAATGCTCTACTATGAGCCAAGCCCTACTCCAGTCCTTTAGCTTTTTCTTCAAGCATCTCTAAAAGCTTGTATTTACAGCAAATACACACCAGGCTGTTTAGATAGAAATACAAAAATGCAACAAACATTGCTAGTCATGACTGGTGGCTCCTATCTGTTCATTTCTACTTTTCTTTCTTAAGGCATCACTAGTAGAAGGCTTTCATTTCTTGTTCCCTTCACAGGTTCTTAAGTCTCTCCTCATCTTCTATCAGGAGCTGTACCTCAAACAAGATAATCAAGTTTTGTAGCTTACCATGTCATTTGAACCAAGTATAGTTTCCATCCTAGGTTTTTGGAAACTGGAACTTGAAGTGTGCAACAATTCTTTGTTATAAGTTCTCATTTTCAACCTCCCCCCCCCCAATATCTATTTTGAGTTTGAACACAGCTGTAAAGCTACATTAAAATGCAGCATGTGACAAGGGAAATAAATTAGTGGTACTGATTTTTTTTTCTTACTATCACGCAAACACAGTCTTTTTACTTGCTAAGGGAGCAATCTAGTTTACAGTTGTATTTGCATGATATACTTACCCATGGTTAATATAGCCAGAGAGCTTTCCTTTCTCTTTCCTCACTCTCCTGGAAAGAACAGCAATACTGTTATATTGGCTCAACCCCACTTTTGGATGCTCTAGCCCCTATTTTTGTCTCAACTGCCAAGAAATATTTAACTTCAAAGTTACTCTTTTGTGAGTCTGGATGAAGAAGGGAAACAAGTTACTTCATGACTAACGTGGGATATAAAAATGTTAAGGCACTCCAACTTTTGATTCAAGATTCAGGTTTGGATGATATGCAAAGGCAGCATATCACAACATAACACAAATGTCCATGATTACTTAATCATGGTTAGCTAAATTAATGAAGTTCTCTGGGTTTGCAAGACACATGAACCACAAACTAGTGAACTACAGTTTAGCCTAACAGAGTGCACTGAGGACCTATTGTGTGAGGCCAGCTTCTGTGGTTGGTTTATGGTTGAGTCATGCTAACCTTGGATGAGCCTGTTGCATGAACAGACACAGTTTGGTAAAGAAGGCTGATATTAGAACTGCAGGCAGGTTGGGCTCACCTGCCTTTGGAAAGAAATGTTGTTTATCATTAAGTGTAGTTGCATGTTAGACCAGAGGCTTTAGCTTTGCAAGTGAAACAACATGGTAGACTCAGTCCAGCACAGCCTGTGGCCTTTACTGATTGTGATCATCAAAAGACTCAATAACGCACCTTTAAGCACCACTGAGGAGTCATATCTGCTGCAGTTCCTCCCTACCCAGATGCTGTGTCAAGAGGAAGAGGGAGGCACATGGCTGTTTTGTTTCATTTTGAGGTTCAGACTTGGAAGGAGAGTGGTCCACTGCAATTTGTCCATTCCTCAGAATGCACTCTGTTGTTGCTATTAGTGGTCGGATCCTGTCCTTTCCCTCCACCTTGGCCTTTGAAAGGGAATTCTCAAGTTTGTCCTCCCCTCCCAGTTGGCAGTCAAGGGCTGCATAACACATTGGCCCCACATACACTATTGCTGTGGGGGAATAGAAGGGAAGGAACCATAGAGTGAGGCAACAGGTTCATGTGCCCCAGCTTAAATCCTGGAGAGGTTGCATTAGGCAACCTGTTTGCTGTGGGCGTGGGAAAAAGCTTTCATACTTTTGGGTATATGAGGGAATGCATTTGGTATCATGTGGCACAAGTGGGTTTACTGCATTCTGACTGCATGAGTAAGGAGGACCGTCTGCATGCTTCTACTTGTGGTCTGCGTACATGTGGCTTTCTGGAAAGCAACGCTTCTCAGGCACTCAGAATGGTGACTGGTCTTCTGCAGCTGGGGTGCCCTGGAAACAGCTGGCAAAATTCTGAACCCCAAGTGGCACAAGGGTTGGAAGAACGAAGCAAACTCCATCTGCTGGAAACTGGCATGGATTTCAGGAGCCAAATTTACTTTCAGACAATATTAAGCACAGTTCTCTATTTAGAGATAAAAACTCCCCCATCCCCTAGAACCTGGGCGCTTCTAACCACCCAGCCATTATGATGATGATTCCGCTCTTCCTCCCCTGAAGGGGGGTTTAATACTGGGGCTGAGGTTCCTCGAGTTTTCGCGGGTAACTTCTCAGTGTACGCATCTGAGTGTTCAAGGCCTCGGGGGTGCATTTGTGCGCATGTGGCAAAAGTATCTGTTGCGTGTATCAGCCGCCGTCTTCTCTTGCCAATTCCCAAAACTCGAGCGAATCCAGGCTTTGATTGACGGCAGCGGGGTGTGTCTCCGCGCGCATCGAATGCCACAGGTGATCAACCCCTCCCTTCCATAGCGCCTTGCGCGCGGGGAGGAGCGGAGAGCACCGCAGGCCCATTCTCGGCGCACCCCTCCCGCTGGGGGCGTACGCCTGCCTGCCTGCCTGTTGCCCTAGAGACGGGCTTCCCCGGCTCGCGCTCTCCCCCGGCCCCCCCTCCCCGTCGG